CCTGGGATTCCCTTTTTGACCTGATAGCAACGCCTCTGGAGCTGAATCCATTGAGGGCTCTTCAGAACCGGGAATTCCTGGGGAACCTGAAAAGCGCCTGAGTATTTCAGAACAGGAGTCGCTTTATCAAAGCATGGCCCCTTCTCCCCTACTGCTCCCCACTCCACCCCACTCTATAAAATCAAAGAAGCCCAAGACAGAAAATTGCTTATTTGAAAAAGCAATATCCAAATGCTTTCATCTCTCAAATGCCCTTTAGAAAATATTGTCGACGGCAGTTATTACCCGGGACAATGCTGTCAATTTCTGTAGTCTGTGGAAAATCTTCCCTCAGATAAAAAAGTAGGACACTAGGCACCTATCTCAAAAAAAAAAAAAAAAAAAAGCCAACCAATTTCCCATCCACCCGATATATATTTTTCACCCAGACAACACTTTCATTAAGGGGGAAATAGCAGTCAACAATTCAAAGCCAAATAGAAATCAACTTCACACAAAGAGGAGCCATGCGTTTAATGGCTTTCCAGGAAAATACCGCTGAGTGAGTTGGAGCAATTCTGGGTCTCTCCTAACACTGAAGGCAGTTCCCCGGAAGCTATCACTAGAAGGCCCTAGACCAAGATAAACTCCCTGGAAAGCCAGGAATAGAAGCAAGTTCTCTGTCCCACAGAGCTCTGGGATGAATGTATCTGAGGACTGGGAGTTCTCTAGTGATACTTGAGGCAAAGACCCTTTAAAAAGTCTGGATTTAATCCTGCATCTGAAAGGCTGGCCTGTGGTGGACTAGCTAGGAAATGCAGCCTGATGGGGAACTTTTAGTACTGCCCCCCCAAAAAATTGCTTTAATAGGAAACACCTAAGACCCATGGGTAGGTAGCTCATTTATTGTATTTAGTTTACCTGCAGGAGTATGCTCAAATTGAAATTTTCAGTAAGCAGCTGACTTAATTTTCAAAGGAATGGAAGTATGTATACTTACACCAAAGGATGGACATTGGGGATTTCCCTCTGCTTTTGCCCCAGCTTCAATGATCCTTACCAGCCCCCCTCCTCTTGGGTGTCACTTATCCAAACTGGCTTCTAAAGGTGCAGTTAGTATCCTCTGGGTATATCACACATTCTTTAAATCTATAAACAATCATTGTAGAATTCCATTAAGGACACCCTAAAATACAGGGGATAGATGGCTCAAAAATGTTGTGGTGCAAGGTATAAAAAGGATCTTCAATTCTTGACCAATTTTTGGCCTAAAAGGCAACCAGGTGATAGGCAATCTTAATTCCTAACAGAACTGACAGGAACTGTCCTTATTAGAGTAGTGCTAACATCATGCAACTCCTTGTAAGAGTCTCTGGACTCAACTGTCAGTAACTTTTGCTTTGCCGTGCCCAAAGAAGACTCATTAGACTCAAATCTCTGTCTGAGAATTATCACAGGGGAACTCCCAAACAGAGCACCACATTTTCTGCAGGAGAATGTTCTTCTGTGCGGTCTCAGTTTCCACTTCATCCACTGAGAATAACTCAATTTAGAACCCCATTCTTTACAGTAAGAAACCACATTTTCCTAGTTTATCCAGAGTGTGCTTCAATTCCATTCAAAGCTATTACATCACACTGAAAATATCTTGGAATCAGTCCAGAGCTGACAAGAGAATAAAGATTCCAGGACTGTTAAAAATCTTAACAAGCATTGTTGTCATAGATTCCTCTCCAACTAAATTCAGACCTTTCAACCTATAATACTCAACATTCAATCAAGTGAAATGTTTCCTTACTTTTATTTTCAAAAGATTGTTTCCCATCCCTGCACTTTTGTAGCTGGATCTTGCCCTGTGGTGATTTTTGATATGTTAGCTAATATGCTTCAGGAAGTAACTTTGCAAATATGTTTCTAATTAGCTTTTCATTGCAGTACTAAAAGAAGCTTCTAGTTTAAACTAGGGCAGATCCATTTCTATAAACACAAAAGCCTTAACCTTTGAACAGGCAAAGAGCCCTGGGCCAAGGAGCATACGCTGAGAAGATTCATCCAAATAGGTAACTGGCGTAGTCTGAAGCGCAGATCTGCTGTACATGGTTGTTTTTTTTTTATTATTATTAAAAAAAAACTCTTCCCAAATGTGGAAGGATTTAAAATTTTTTTTCTATAAGCAAAAGCCTAAATTTTTCCATAAAGGAGATACCTTGCTCCCTGGATATAATTTTAGGGGCTACTCCTTCAGAAACATAACTGGGAGTGCATGGATTTAAAGAGAAAGGTGCACTGCAGGTAACAGCTAGGAGACAGGACACAAATCGAGTGTTCCAGTCAAATAACTTGTGTTGTGAGCTCATCAAAACAAAATATTACTCATGAAATTCTTCCCTGACTATGTCAGTTCAAGGGAAACACACACAACAATGTTTTTGTCACCTTTGCCTTCTTGGAGGTAACTTGAAGCAGCTACTGACAACCTGCGTGGGTCTACTGCAGGTTCTTCCAAAGGACTGAGATGTACTTGGGTGCAGCAACAAATAAATGCTCAATTCAATTACTGTATCTGATGTTTAATGAAATAGATGGAGAAAACCACGATTATTTCTTGATCTGCTCATCACCCCAGAGTTTTAATCAAGGCTCCCTGCTTCTTTATCTGCCTGCAAGCATCCTGACTTGACTGCCCACCTCACCCTCCTAAATTCATTTCCATGGTAAAAGTCAGCTTCCTGCTCCTCCAGGCAAACAGCTCCAAATTGTGCTGGCAAATAACCCTGGGATTACAATCCTGGAGGTACCACCCTGGGTCAGGGCCATCAGCCCTTTGTTTGGGGGTTCCTGTGCTTTCTAATCCCCGACACACCAAACAACTTTAGATCAGAGAGAAAAGAATGGACTTCTAACTCACCCTCTCTATTTTATTGTTCACATTTTGTATTGTTTTGAGTGAAATTGGAAAAATTGTCTCCTTTCTCTGTATCGCCAAAAGGCATTCAGGTAATGAAGTCTGTAACTAAACGGTAATTGAATCAGCATAATTTGCACACTGAATGGTTTTCAAATGCTCCCAGTTTACAATTAAAGGAGAATTAATGCGCTTGTTGTTGAGAACGCAGCACATTAGAATAAATCCAGCACTGTTGTTGTAATGAGTGGAAAACGGTTTAACTGCCAACAAACACATTTAAAATTTAACACAACGTATTGATTTCACTTCTGCTTTTGATAGATTATTTTCCAGACTATCGAAATACTTGCTCCGAGCAATAAACTGCACCACAGCCGCGAGCCCTTGCCGTGTGATGTGAGCACAGCCCAAGGACATAAGAACAGTCCCGAGGTTCAGGCCGCCCTCAAAGGTGTGCAGAGGAGGGGGCAGGCAGGTGAGGACGGTCAAGGGAATCGTTAGTGTTCCTCCTCTCTGGCTCTCACTTGGCACTCCTCTCGCCTCCCTATCTCTGTTTTAAAAAAGAAATCTGCATTTCTTCTAACCAAACTTTCTGTCCTCAGCTCTGGGATCTCAATGTCAGTGGGCTTACTGGGCACAGGTAAAGGCAAGGGTGATTGAAATGGGCAATGGGAAGGACTCTCTTTGCATTCCGTGTGCGTTCCAGCGGGGGAAGGCACAGACTTCGGTGACGGTCAGAAATGCTGTTCTTTTTCATTGGCTGCCCCGGCTTTCACCTGTTTACCCCAAGGTGTCCTATGGGCGAGGACACTGATGCGCAGCGCCCTCTGGCGTCCGCAGCTGCTACGGTCACACGATAAAGGAGCAAAGACAGGCAACATCGGGGATTGAAGCTGAAACCCCTTGAACATATATATTCGCGCGCACACACACACACGCACTCGCACAATCACAAACACACAATTCACACAACTCGCAGCAATGCAGAAACATGCGCCACAGCAACGGCAGAGAAACGCTGTCAATTGCAAGGATTAAAAACCCTATCGCTCTCAGGCTTGCTGGTTCGGAGACTCGCGATTGAGGGTCGCCAGCACCACCCCCAATCCCATTTATCCAGGCCCTCCAGAGAGTTCTGGCTGCTCTAGCGCTCCACGTCTCTAACCAGAACACTCTGAGCCCTCGGTGCGCTCTCGCGGACTTGGATGATGTAGGGAGGTCGGTACGCTGAGCACAACTTCACCAGCAGGGTGCGAGTGTCCCTGGTCCTCCTAGAAGCCAGACCTGAGAAATCGCACGCTCCTCGGCTCAGCGTGGTGCCCACAGGTCCCCTTTCACCACAACAAAGCGCTTCTCCCTGAAGCCTGGTTCCAACCGCGTGCGAAGTCCCCACGCCAGAGCCCCCGCTCTTGAAGGAGTCGGGCCGTGGCTTTGTTAAGGATTCCCTCCTTGTTAACAAGGCCTGGCAGTCCCCCGGGAAGAGGCTCAGCGCCTAAGCCAGGGTTCAGTCATTTGGTGGGAAGGAGAGGTTAGGAGAGAAGAGGAGCCATGGTCGTTGGAGCACCTCTCACCTAACTCTGATGGCTCTCTGTGCCCCTAAGAGTTCAACTTCTCCTGTCTGAACCCTGGCAAGTCAGAGAAAGTTAGTTTCTTCCCGTACCACATCTCCAAGCTGCAGGAGAGGGTGCGTAGAATCACTTTCAAAGTCTCAGACCCTGGCAGATTCATGCCTCCCACTCCCCAGCCCTATACCCATTTCCCTTAGTTTAAACTCTAGGCATGAAATGCTAGCGCTCCGTGCCGTCCACCCCTTCTCTCTGTCCTTTCGCCCATAAAGCATCCTGTCCCACTGCCTCCTTGGTTTCTGGGCGTCTAGGGCGCCCAAGCCGCTGCTCAGAATCACGCACAGGAAAAGGGGGGACTGGGGCAGGAAACGGGGATGTGAAAATCCCGCAGGGATCTGGAGACCAGCTTGCCAAAGTTGTTCCAAAGCAGTCGTTAAGAATGCTGCTGTCGCTGAACTGGTGGCCTCACCCTCCTCCCAAGCGCGCCCAGGTGCCTCGCCCCGCAGCCAGAGCAGGGTGGCAAAGGCGCCTGACCCGCCGCGACTTACCAAGTACACGGTGGGCTGCAGGAGGAGAAGCACGTACCAGCACGCAGCCTGCATCCTCCCGCGTCTCAAACTTCCTTGGCGGTGCCTTCGCTGAGTCTTTGTTCCTTCAAAAACATAGATCCACCTGACATCCACTTTACGGAGCAAGGAGCGCTCTCAGCAGCCTAGATACAAATGAAATTAGACATCCCATGACCACGCGGGCAAGGTTAGGCTTGGCGAGCAAGCGGGGAGAGGGGGTCGTGGCGGGGAGGGGTAGACCAGGAGAATCGGGCGGGGAATGCGAAAAATTGAAAAGCGAGTAAATCCAGCGCCTCCAAGGAGCCAGCGCGCTGTCCGCAGGCAGCCGGGCGGCGGGGCGAGGGGCTCCGTGCGCCCTGCGCTCCTAGGGTGCGAGTTCTCGGGCAGCGGAGGCCAGAGCCGGCGGGACACAGGGAGCCGCGTGCATGCAGCCTGGTTGCGAGCCCGACCGTCTCTGGCAGCCAGACCTGCCCTAGTGTTCGCTGGCCGGGCGGTTGGGACTGAAGGCAGCGGCTGGTTCTTCGCCAGCCCTGGCAGTGCTCACACACGTACACACCAGCAGAGAGAGACAGAGAAAGAGAGAGGGAGAGAGAGACCGAGTGAGGGGGGCGCGGGAGAGGAAAAGCAGGTAGAACTGACCAGGATTAGGTGCAGGGTACCTCAACACGCCGGGCGAAGTGGGGGAGGGGAAGGGGATGCAATTTGCATACAGGAAAACAGGGCTCAGTTTACCCATTCGAGCCTCTGCACACGCAGAGATGCACACGCGTGCACACAGTCACATCGCCAGCACTACTTTCGTTCCAGCCAAGGGGGCACAGCCAGTCGCTAACTTCTGGAGAGGAAGCCTGCCTCGGGCTGTGAGGGTCACCTGCCAGGCATTCTCCGTCCCCCAACAGGATCCGCCCTCGCCGCCCCGTTCTCGTGCCCACCACCCCAAGGTGTCCCCTTTAGGCACAGTTGAGAAGGATACCTACCGCACAGGACTGGGGGCGACGCTGGCGAGCAGGGACCGCTCTGGGCAGGCTCCATGGAGGAGCTACTGGGGCCTGGCGTCTTCAGCGCCCCGGACGTGCCCTCCCTGGCGCTCCGTCTCCATGCTCCGGCGCGGACGGGTCCGGCTGTTTCTTCCAGCCTCGGCGGAGTCGGTGTCCCAGTGCCAGGGTCGCACTCGGGATTGGTTCGCGGGAGCCTAGGCTTGGCACAGTTGGATTCACGGTGCAGAAAACTTAAGAGGCAGGAGAAGGAGGGGGAAGTGGAGGAAGAAACAGAGGAAGGGAGAAAGAGAGGGAAAGAGAGAGAGAGAGAGAGGTGAACGCGCCGAGATGCTGCTCCGGACAGACTGGGACTGCGAGAGCCGGCGCTGGGACCAGCAGCGCAGGGCTCCCGGCTCTCCGCGGTCACGGGAGGATGGTAGAAATGACTTAAGGACAGGACACTGGGCCAGTCCTAGGGACTTGAACTTGACCGATAAGACGCTGGCCTTTCAGAAGGAAGAAAAATAAGCTAGGCACTGGCAGTTGGAGTTTCCGAGGGAGGGTGGGGTAGGGAAAATGTGGAGGCTGCGGGCACACGCAGCTGCTGCACCTCCACCCGCGCCGCCAGTGGCCGGCGAGCCGCACCAGCTTGCAGCCGCGGGCGCTGTCCGAGGTGCTGCCCGGCCGACGGGGTTCGCTCGGGGGCGCGCTGGATTTCCCGGCGCCGCGGCGGTGGGGGTCTCTCCACAGGGACGCGGTTGGCGCGCCCGCCCTCCTGACACAGGCAATCACATTGGCACGTGGGTGAACGATCCCTCAAAGGCTAATTGGTGCCCGGTGTAAATAGATCCCGCTCTCAGGCTCTCGGCGGGCCAAGCCCGCAGGGGGAAGTGGGTCCCGTGCGGCGTCCTAGGTGGCCGCAGCGCCCCCTCTCCGGGAGGGGTAGGGGGTGCAGGGAAGACAGCGCTGAGCCGTGCAGTGGCGGGAAGCTTAGCAGGGAGGTGCGCAGGGCGGGGACTCGCACGGGCGGGAGCCGAAACGCCCCTGCTGGCCTCCTGCCCTGACGCGGGACGCCGCCGACCTGTGGCTGCGTGGCCAGAGGCTGGGGGCGCTGCGGGCCGCCAGACCTTCAGCGCGCCACCGTCCGGAGGACTGTGCGACCTTGGGCTTCGGACTCCTGTTCGTGGGTTGGGTAGAGTGGGCGGGTGATGGGGAGGGGTGTAGGGAGGATGCTTCAAGCTGTGACCACTCTTGGGACTGACACCTTCCACGCAGCAAACATCCCTCGACCCCTCGACAGTATTCTCTCTTGCGGTTCTCTGTCTCTTTCTCAACCTCTCTCTTTCAGTTTGCACCTGTCAGTCTATCTATCCTCTACTTATCCACCACTCATCCATCTACCTATTTGCCTACGGTCTATCTCCTGTCCTTTCTCATTCTTGTGGTCCCTGTCTGAACCTCAGCTTCTCTCTGCTGATCTCTGCCTCTGTAGTTCTCCCTCTGAATATCTGGCTATCAGTCTCTGGGTCTTTGTGTCTCTACTCCGCCTCCCCCACCCCACCACCTCCCTTAATCTCTATTCTTTTCTTCTCCGCTTCACTCTCTCCAGTGCACAGCCACAGCCTCACCAGTATCCGGTGAGATCCAGGACTAGGCCACTCCGGTTGGAGGGAGGTTTCAAGAGACTATTGGAAGTAGCTGAAGTCAGACCACAAGCCCCAGCACGGCTGAGAGCATTTCTCATCCTCCAGGCGGTTGGTGACTTCTCCAAGTCTACCTCTCACCAAAGCTTGGCCTGCAGTGGTACATACTGCAAGATGGCATTTCAATATTAGTTTGTTAAGAATTGAGTTAAAATTTAACCTCAGAGCCTGTGTTGAGACATCAAAAGAAATCATGGTGTTTTTTTTTTGTTTGTTGTTTTGTTTTTGTTTTTGTTTTTGTGTGTGTGTGTGTGTGTGCATCTGGGGATGTCCTTTCCTTGAGTGTGGCTCTGCAAATGTCACCCTAGCCTGTCTGGGCCCTGATACATTTTAACTCTGGACAAGAGGTCCCAGAGTGACCACAGGCAGGGGGAACCACAGACTACCTCCCAAACCCAGTGAAGACAACCAGCAGAAACCCTGTCTGGTGGAGCAGATGAAAGAGCAGCTCCACTAACACCTTTACCTGGCATCAGATCTCCAAGAGCCCCTAAGTCAGATCCCCACCTAAGCCACACCTGCCTCAATTTGAGGCCTGCTCTCTGCCTTCCAGCTAAAAACAGTTCCTTAAAGATCTCACTTGTCTAATCTCCAAAGTTTTACTCTGTCATTGTGATTTCTGGGATTCACAGGGCATGGGCAGAGTAAGGCTGTGAAACACATCTTCTAACCAGAACTCTTAAGAACGCACTTCAGAAAAACCACACATGTATCTGTAGCATGGTTGCAACTCTGTCTTGGACATTTTCACTCACCAGGCTTTTGAGTCTTATGAAGTCTAATGGAAAGAACTTGAACCTCTTTGGCACCATGTCTGAGGAGGAAGGGTCAATGGAAGGCAGGGAAAGTTGTGCTTTTTTTTTCTGTCCCCAAAGATTCAGGAAGCCATTCTCAAATTTTTCCCCACATACACATGAGCTCCAGGCCTTCCTAGACTGGAGTATGGAGCCAGAGTGCCTCTATTTGGATGCCTAAGTACATTGCTGTCAGAGCTGAACCTCTCTGTCTGACCTTTGGGAAAATGAGAATCAGGTCAGCTTTGGGATACGTCAAGTTCTTTTCTAAATCTTACTTCAAAAAACACTCTGCCTCTAGTGCCATTTAGCCTTAAAAAATTACTGCTTGTGAACTAGAAGGATGATCAGGGACCTTAAAATCTCCGTCTGAATGGGACTGATTATTTAAGAAAAGCACCACAGGCACCCAGTTATGGGAAGTGGGTCTGACACTTTGTTCTATGATGCAGGATTCCAAAGAGCTTTTTATGTTAATGACCTGAGACCTTCTGTTAAGACATTCAACTCCTAGGAGACCCTTGGACAGGGATATAAAATGAAAGTAGATTGCCATCTTTTGTATCTGCACAAGACTCTTCATTCCCTACAGTACACAATCAGAGAAGGACAGTTAACCACCAAATAACACTGGAAAATGTATCATTGTTTCAGCTAAACCTCTCCAATTTTTTTTTCCTTTTTGACAGGCAGAGTGGACAGTGAGAGATAGAGACAGAGAGAAAGGTCTTCCTTTGCCGTTGGTTCACCCTCCAATGGCCGCTGCGGCCAGCGCGCTGCGGCCAGCACACCGCGCTGATCCAATGGCAGGAGCCAGGTACTTCTCCTGGTCTCCCATGGGGTGCAGGGCCCAAGCACTTGGGCCATCCTCCACTGCACTCCCTGGCCACAGCAGAGAGCTGATCTGGAAGAGGGGCAACCAGGACAGAATCCGGCGCCCCGACCGGGACTAGAACCCGGTGTGCCAGCGCCGCAAGGCGGAGGATTAGCCTACTGAGCCGTGGCGCCGGCTAAACCTCTCCAATTTTAATGACATGATGCTGGTGGGGGAAAGGACAATGTTGGCTCATTTACCTGATTTCCTATGATTTGCTTTAAAATGAATTCAAAGCAATAAGAGCATAGCTTTCACACTTTCTGCTGTTTAAAGTAGAACCCTACCGCAAACGCACTCTTAGAATACAGAACATCGACAATCAGCTTCCCTGGGATAGAACAAAAGTGTGATTTGCTGTCAGGGGTATAGCGTTTGTGCCAATTTTTTCAGACCTTACTCATGATGCGAATCTTTTCAGAAGTCACCCTCTTGCTAAATTTTGGGTGCATTGCAACTTAATGTCCATACAAAATTCACATGAATTATCACCACTGTAAAACATCTCTCCCATCCGGTTTTCCCCAGATATGTCTGGTCCAACCTGAAGTGAACAATATGAAACAGTAGTATATATTAATATCCAAAAATATAAATATCTTCTTAAAGAGTTGAAGTAGGCTGAACTCAAAAAGAAATAGTGATATTAAACAACTTTTATGATAATTAAAATCAGAAGAAATTAAAATTAGGATTGATTTGAAATATACTGATACTTCTGTTAAATGTAATTCTGCTTTGGTTGATTTGACTTGATGCATTTATCTGATTTTTCATTTTTTGGCTGTGGAGATAGAGGGTGGGAGTTGATGCTTTGGATTTTCTTGGGACTGGGGAAAAGAAAGAAAAGGATTAACTCTGAGTTCTACCAAGCTCCACTCTAAAATGAGGCTATCTTAAACACATGAATGTCATCATATGTTAACAAAAGTCTAAGAAGGGACAGAACTTTTGTTATGAAGCACTCAGTATGGTCTTGCTCAAGCTTCAGGCCAAATTGAATCTCTGTGCATGCACATATGTTTTTCCTCATAGTCCCCCAAAATGTGTAAACTTTGATCTTAGTATAACCTGATAGTTGCCTGTTGTATCATCTTGGACAAGGGCCTGGAGATTCCCCTAGTCTCAGCTCCATCCATTATATAGTAGGAAAATAAGACAAGATGATTTTTTTAACTTTTATTTAATAAATATGTTTCCAAAGTACAGCTTATGGATTACAATGTCTTTCACCTCCCCATAACTTCCCTCCCACCTGCAACCCTCACATCTGCTGCTCCCTCTCCCATTCCATTCACATCAAGATTCATTTTCAATTATCTTCATATACAGAAGATCAATTTAGTATATATTAAGTAAAGATTTCAACAGTTTTCACCCACGCAGAAACACAAAGTGCAAAGTACTGTTTGAGTACTAGTTATAGCATTAATTCACATTGAACAACACATTAAGGACAGAGATCCTACATGGGGAGTAAGTGCACAGTGACTCCTGTTGTTGACTTAACAACTGACACTCTTGTTTATGGCGTCAGTAATCTCCCTAGGCTCTTGTCATGAGTTGCCAAGGCTATGGAAGCCTTTTGAGTTCACCGACTTCGATCTTATTTAGACAAGGAAATAGTCAAAGTGGAAGTTCTCTCTTCCCTTCAGAGAAAGGTACCTCCTTCTTTGATGGCCCATTCTTTCCAATGGGATCTCACTCACAGAGATCTTTCATTTAGGTTTTTTTTTTCTTTTTTGCCAGAGTGTCTTGGCTTTCCATGCCTAAAATACTCTCATGGGCTCTTCAGCCATATCCAAATGCCTTAAGGGCTGATTCTGAGGCCAGAGTGCTGTTTAGGACATCTGCCATTCTATGAGTCTGTTGTGTAAGACTAGATGATTTTTAAAGTGACTTCCACTTATAAAATTTTATTCTATTTCATGTGAAGACATTCCTGATTTTAAAAACTTTCCTACTTCATGAAAAACAATTGTATGCTGCATTTTGATTTTCAAAGATAGAAACAATTTAAAAGAAGTCATTCAGTTGGTGTCTTTCAAAGATTTTAAGTCAATTGTGCTTGTGGGTTTGAGCTGAAATTTTTGTCTATTTCTTCCCTACCCCACCCACATAACCTTTCTTCTAGGTCAAGGGTTGATTCTATTGTATTAATCATATCATTTTTTCACATAACTTGTTCTGCACATGTTTTTAGTGTCATTGATTTATGAGAATCTGTACTCAGAGTGGCATCCTTATTATACTTATGAATATTTGTTACAAGAGATCCAAAGCTATTTCCAGTACTTTTGCAAAATTCTTAAATGTCACTCAGGACAAGAAAGAAGCTCCTGGCATTTCCACACTCAGGATATTTTGCTAGCAGAAGGAAGGACTATTTGCAATGTGATTTTTACCAGCCTATAGTATTTGGTATTTGAATGTAGTAGAACTTGGTTAATAACTTGAGGCATGTGTGCTAAATTACCGTTACAAGAATGCTTTAATAACAAGATCACTGGACTAAAGAGAAAAAATAGCCGTCAAGCTCTGGAATAAGAAAAGTTAAAGGGAATCAAAAAGCTTTATGTGGAAGGCATTTTCGTTTTTAGAAG